GAGTGAAAGAGACCTCCTGGAGAGGAGGTATGGAGGGAGGGAAGGAGAGGAGGAGAAGAAGAGAAGAGGAGAGAGAGAGAAGAGAGAACGAGGAGTAAAGAGCCCCCTCGCTGGCTAGAAGTGATAGGAGGAGGGAGAGGAAGGGCGAGAAGAGAAGAGAGGAGAGAGAAAGAGAGAGAGAGACGGAGTGAAAGAGACCTCGCTGGCAGAAGTGATAGGAGGGAGGGAGGGAGAGAGGGGAGGGAGAGAGAGGAGGGAGAGAGGAGGGAGGGAGAGGAGGGAGAGAGAGGAGGGAGAGAGAGACCTCACTGGCAAGAAGTGAGAGGAGGGAGGAAGGAAGGGAGAGGAGGGAGGGAGGGAGAGAGGGAGAGGAGGGAGTGAGAGGATGGAGGGAGAGGAGGGAGAGAGAGAGACCTCGCTGGCGGCAGTGAGGATGGGTGCAGACTTGGAAAACAGCTCATCATCTCCAGTCTCCAGCTGAATGGTCTTGATCAACATCGGATACCCCGCATACTTGTACGGCCGCAGTACTGAACACACACACCCACACACACACACATGGGGAGAAAAGAACATTTCTCGATGGAGGTTACTTCCTTTTACCTTGCATTTCAACTTATAGTGAAGTGTACCAAGCTTCTTACAATCATAAATATTCAGCTACCCATCGAAAATGTCAGTAGCAACCTTCATGGATGGATGAATCATGGACGGGTGCTTTTATACCCATGGTTCTATGAAAGCAATACGGTTACTCACGCAAGGCGCATCAAATGTCCAATATGGATTAAGGCTACAGGTTCACAATATGTTGCATTACCCTGTTTCGCTGCATCGCATCTTGTCTTGCCACAAAGGGATTCTATCCTCCCGATGTGGCAACAAGGCACGACGCACGGGGCAATACTGACATACTGTGAACCTAGCCTAAGTCATGTTGTAGTCAAGTTGGTAGAGCGCTCGCCTGACTGCAGAGTGTCGTGGGTTCGAATCCCACCTAGGGCAGCTCTTAATTTTTCCTTGGAAAAAAAGAGCTGTCCTAGGTGTAGTTGATTTGTTTGTTGTGCCTTTGCCTTTCTACCTCGTAGTTTTCACATGCATTTCCATGATAACTAGTAAGCACCCTCCCCCTCCCTCTCACCATCGGCATATCTCTGGAAGAGAATGGACTGGGTCTTGCAGCAGCAGAACAATCCTCACTGGGTCTGGACCCTCGGTTCTCTTGGCATTCTTGGAGCACAGGAACTCATAGGCCTTGTTCACCGCCTCGAATCTGTCCTGTGGACGGGGTGGAGAGAGGGGGAGAGGGAGGGAGGGGAGAGGGAGGAGGGGGTAGAGAGAATGAGAGAACGGGAGACAGAAGTGAGGAGAGAGTGTGGGTGGGTGCCACTCAAACTATAGACATTGCAGTGACATAATTTTCAATGTCAAGCCACATATTTATATCCGTAAGCATAGCGGGTGTGAGTAACTTAAACTGTACTGTTAATTAACCACTGAAAACTGCTGCCACTGTGTCAATATTTGGTACCATAGAGACATGTTTATATAATGTTCTTCTCGTCTGAAGAACTCTTTGTGTGAAAAACTATGATTTGAGAAGAGTGTAGTTTGTGGTACCTAGTGGCTGATTCCCAGACTGGCTATTTGGGCTAGTGAAAATATTGTACTATAGAACAGGGAAAAGATAGGGATGTACTGGGAGGGGGTGTGGCTTACTCTTCCATCAGGGTTCTTGTCGGGATGGTACTTCTGAGCCAGTTTGAAGTAGGCTTTTCTGACGACATTCTCCTCATGACTGTGGAGAGAGATAGACCGAGAGAAAGAGAGCATCACATCATAAACATCATTCAGGAGACCCTCGAAAGGATTATACTGACATTATGTGCATAGCTGCTGGTAAGGTGCGTAGTCAAAACGAGGTAGCAAGGCAAAGGCCAAGCAAACTAACAAGTCAACTACACACATGCATGTGTATGCTAAGAAGAATTCCCCGCTCTGGTGATCCCTGTCAAATAGGCAGCAGTAGTAAGATTTACAACACAGAATGTGTATCGATTCCGGCATGCTATCTACTACTGTAGCTAGCCTGTGTCAGACTCTCCGCGAGCTACTAGCGGGAGACCACGAGTAAATGTATACTAATAGCCCAACCCATCAATTAGCGGTACCACGCACACGCAGTTCACCGAGGGTTTGCACTTCAGTGCTTTTTCATTTGCCTATATTCGTTCTAGCTAAGAATGGTTGTCCCAGTTGCGTTCTAGCAAAGAATGATCGTGTAGAACCCCTATCATTGAAGGAAAATGAGGTCAGTGTATCTGTGAACTGACCCTCCAACTCCAGTCTTGAGACCAAGAGCATCGTAGGCCTGGTCCACCGACATCTCTGGTGGCTTCTTGTCCACCTCCTTCTTCCACTCCTCCAGTACGTCCTTCAGGAGGGCCACCTGAGGGAGGGAGGGAGGGAGGAGGGAGGGAGGAGGGAGGGAGGGAGAGGGGAAGAGAGAGAGGCTTGCAACTGTCTCGTACGCAGCTCCTCTACCCACAAGAGGAAAGGATTGCCTAGCAGCTTCTGATGCAAAACCTGACGTCATATCCATAGTATTAGAACCACTCATCCAGTATGTGATGCATACAAGGCCCTTGCTACAAAAGTCTGCGGATTACAGATGCTGATTGGGTGTTCTGCAATCTGATTGATTTTGAGATCTAGGACCAAGGAAATATGTCAAAAGCTACAACACTCCCTTCCACGTGATGAGTGGGTGGGGTCTGGGGATGAGACACTGCTACTAGCCCTAAGTGGAAACTAGCTCTTGGAACTCCATGAAAATGTGATGTTATGCAACGTTATGGACTGTCCAGTGATATACAACAGCTCATGCTTTACTAAAAGAAATGAGAAAGGATAAATAGAGCTCCTGGGTGTTCACTCCTTTAGTAAACTGTAAAGTGTAAAGAGGAGGGTTGGTTGGCCATTCTGTTATACCTGTTTTGTAAACTGCCTCAGTAAGTGTACAAAGAAAGGGGGGAAGGGAGGAGGGAAGGGAGGAGGGAGGGCTGACCGGTTTCTTGATGGGCCAGTCTGGGAACCGGAGGGTGTCACAGAGGTGACGGAGGTAGTAGATGTTACAGAACAGCTCGTCTTCCAGCTGCTTGTACCGCACCACCGGCATGGCACAGTACTGGACACCCCGGGGAACACGAACGGACGTTTGGGGGAATGGAAACATGGAATCATCATCACTTCTGATACAAATGCAGTTGATACTAAGCAAAATACTAACACACCAAATGGCTACAGTGAGATTCTGTATCTACGTATACCAGGAGTTTGTATGAGAATCGGAGGTACTCACATTCACTAGGAAGGGCTAGGCTACAGCTAGTATAATGTGCAAGTAAAGTAGCCTAAGGAAGATATGAGATGAGTGGGCAGCAGAGTGGGAGAACGTATGGACCTGGTATGTGGCTCTGGTGTTGCTCTGGAGTCGAGGAGTGAAGTCTGCAATATGAGCTGCTATCTTCTCTATCATCATCCTCCTACACACAGATGGACATACAGTATCCGGGCTATAGGTTTAGAGGCAGTAGTGATGGCTATTCACAGTCAACTCAATCACAGGCATTTGGTTGAGCTTGAAATCAAGAAAAGTCAAACCAAGGGTCACTTCAGTTCATCGGTAAGCCTGTGCAAATTTGCATATTGGCTTGTTCACACCATAACTTCTGAAAGCAGCAGTTATACAAAAACAGCCTTATTAAAAATGAAGCTAGTGTAGCGATGAACCCATAGGTATCGATATTTTTTTTGTCTCTCTGCGCGTAGTCGCAGAAAACGTGGTAACAGACAGACACACTCACGAACCAAGTACAGTAACCCTTGATGCACATGCACACCGAGGATTAATTAACCCTCTACACCTCCTGACCTCATCTCGCCGTTCCAGATGGCCTCAGGGTTATCAAACTCCCCGAGGAATGTCTCACTGAACTTGACTGATCCGTGGTTCTCGAGGAAACACACCATGGCCTCTGGCAGCAGCTGGCCCAGGATACTCCGCTGCATGATGTCACTGCTCTGTTGCTATGGTGAGACGGAGGAGAAATCCTAGTCACATGACCACCGACCAATCGTAGCGCAATGTTTAGGATTGTGGGTGTGGTCTCGGTTAGAAAAATGTATTGCATTCCACAGGCAGTGCACGTGTGTATTCTGCTGATTCAGCACAACCAAGAAACTGCTCAGATGTTACCAGACCATTTCCCAATTAGTGGGTGTGGTCTACAAGAAGCCGTGGTGTGTAACAATGAAAACAACATGTACAAGTCAGGGAAGGCAGTCAATGGTAAAACCGGAAATATCATTAAATTTAGCGAATTTGGCGTTTAGAAATAAATAATCGCTAAAAATTAATGGTCCACCAAAATGTTTTCTATAAGAGGTCAAAGTTAACCACAACTCACAAAACGCTAATATTAATGCCCGCCAATATGTGGAGTCTGAGTAAAACGCTAAATATAATGGCCGCCAATATGTGGAGTCTGAGTAAAACGCTAAATATAATGGCCGCCAATATTTCAGGCTTTACAGTATATATGTAGGTACCTCATCAGGTCTGAATGACTGCTTCATGTGAGTGTATTTGAGGAACTTAGCGATGGGGAGAATGTTGGAGCCAGTGTACATGAGGATGAAGAAGAATACTCCGGTTGAGAACGCCCTCGGCAGCTGGGGGTTGTCCTGGTGGGAGTGGGGTTAAAGATCAGTGTGGATGGGGTTAAATATGAGTGGGGGTGGGTTAATGATCAGTGTGGATGGGGTTAAATATGAGTGGGGGTGGGTTAATGATCAGTGTGGATGGGGTTAAAAGGGATGGGGTTGAAGATCAGTGGGAGAAAATCAGTCGGGGGGGAGTGAGATGTGTATCACTGGTTTACGTGCTTCTTTTGGTGAACATTTACTGTTCAGAGTAACTCTTTATTGGCAAAATTTTCACTGATGGTCTGTGTATTTTTTTCATGTGGTAACCCATTGTTCTACTGTTATTACCACAATATTGCCACTGCACACAGCAGACTGCATGTAAGGTGCCCCAAGTTCTATATAGTGCTCACCTCCAGAATGATATTCAAGAGTTTCGTTACTCTCTCCACGAGACTGGGGTCAAAGGTCAACAGTAATTGGACGATGTGGGGGAGGGCGTTTGGTTCGGAGAGGAGCCGCTTGGCTCGTGGGAGGGGCCTCACGATGGCATTCTCGGCGTCACGCGAGGGATAGAACTCGCACATCCTGATGAAGATGTTGAGGATGAGGGTGGCCATGTCACTCTCGTTCATGAGGGACATCCCCTGAGCCATCAGCTGCCACTTTAGCTGCGGGATCTGTTCCAGTGGCCTCCAGCCCTCCATTCCCTGGAACCAGAACAGCAGTTTACATACAGTAACATGTACATGTGTAACATTATAACGTTTGGTGTAGGTTTCCGCTACTTGCTCCCGGATGCTATTCTTCCTGCTCAATTTTTATACCTTTCACAGCTCTTTTTTCTTTATTCCGATTATTGCCGAGCGCGTTAGCGTGAGGCAACTACTCCGGGTTGTATTCTCGCGATATGCGTACGTACGTCATCAATTAGTCACGCTTAGGAATGTCAATTAGTCTCCAAAAGGAAGTGTAACTTCCGCCATTCATAGGAGTCTAGCTTCCGCGTGCGGCAATTCGTAGGAAGTCTGCTTCGCGCGCAGTCGTAGAGCGCGGCACGAGCGGCCCCAGTCGGACTGTTGACGCATTGGCTGGCAGGCGTGAGGCAAAATATGCACGTGCGCATTCCTAGTATTTTAATACTATTTCCACTTTGTATACCATGTGTGCTGTGCATCTCTACGTAGTATGTTTGCTGCCATCATACACCAGTCCTACACACGTAAGCCATCGTGCACCAGTCCTACACACGTAGCCATCATGCACAGTCCACATAACGTAGCCATCATGCACCAGTCCTACATACGTAAGCCATCGTGCACCAGTCCTACATACGTAAGCCATTCATCGCACCAGTCCTACATACGTAAGCCATCATGCACCAGTCCTACATACGTAAGCCATCATGCACCAGTCCTACATACGTAAGCCATCATGCACCAGTCCTACATACGTAAGCCATCATGCACCAGTCCTACATACGTAAGCCATCATGCACCAGTCCTACATACGTAAGCCATCATGCACCAGTCCTACATACGTAAGCCATCGGACCAGTCCTACATACTAGCCATCTACCCACTACATACGTAAGCCATCATGCACCAGTCCTACATACGTAAGCCATCATGCACCAGTCTACATACGTAAGCATCATCACCAGTCCTACATACGTAAGCCATCATGCACCAGTCCTACATACGTAAGCCATCATGCACCAGTCCTACATACGTAAGCCATCATGCACCAGTCCTACATACGTAAGCCATCGTGCACCAGTCCTACATACGTAAGCCATCATGCACCAGTCCTACATACGTAAGCCATCATGCACCAGTCCTACATACGTAAGCCATCATGCACCAGTCCTACATACGTAAGCCATCATACACCAGTCCTACATACGTAAGCCATCATGCACCCAGTCCTACATACGTAAGCCATCGTGCACCAGTCCTACATACGTAAGCATCGTGCACCAGTCCTACATACGTAACCATCATGACACCAGTCCTACATACGTAAGCCATCATACACCAGTCCTACATACGTAAGCATCATGCACCAGTCCTACATACGTAAGCCATCGATGCACCAGTCCTACATACGTAGCCATCATGACACCAGTCCTACATACGTAAGCCATCATACACCAGTCCTACACACGTAAGCCATCATACACCAGTCCTACACACGTAAGCCATCATACACCAGTCCTACACACGTAAGCCATCATACACCAGTCCTACACACGTAAGCCATCGTGCACCAGTCCTACATACGTAAGCCATCGTGCACCAGTCCTACATACGTAAGCCATCATGCACCAGTCCTACATACGTAAGCCATCATACACCAGTCCTACATACGTAAGCATCGTGCACCAGTCCTACATACGTAAGCCATCATGCACCAGTCCTACATACGTAAGCCATCATACACCAGTCCTACATACGTAAGCCATCGTGCACCAGCCTACACACGTAAGCCATCATGCACCAGTCCTACACACGTAAGCCATCATGCACCAGTCCTACATACGTAAGCCATCGTGCACCAGTCCTACATACGTAAGCCATCATGCACCAGTCCTACATACGTAAGCCATCGTGCACCAGTCCTACATACGTAAGCCATCATGCACCAGTCCTACATACGTAAGCCATCATACACCAGTCCTACATACGTAAGCCATCATGCACCAGTCCTACATACGTAAGCCATCATACACCAGTCCTACATACGTAAGCCATCATACACCAGTCCTACATACGTAAGCCATCATGCACCAGTCCTACATACGTAAGCCATCATGCACCAGTCCTACATACGTAAGCCATCGTGCACCAGTCCTACATACGTAAGCCATCATGCACCAGTCCTACATACGTAAGCCTCATGCACCAGTCCTACATACGTAAGCCATCATGCACCAGTCCTACATACGTAGCCATCGTGCACCAGTCCTACATACGTAGCCATCGTACACAGTCCTACATACGTAAGCCATCATGCACAGTCCTACATACGTAAGCCACTCATACACCAGTCCTACATACGTAGCCATCATGCACCAGTCCACATACGTAAGCATCATGCACCAGTCCTACATACGTAAGCCATCATACACCAGTCCTACATACGTAAGCCATCATACACCAGTCCTACATACGTAAGCCATCATGCACCAGTCCTACATACGTAAGCCATCATGCACCAGTCCTACATACGTAAGCCATCATGCACCAGTCCTACATACGTAAGCCATCATGCACCAGTCCTACATACGTAAGCCATCATGCACCAGTCCTACATACGTAAGCCATCATGCACCAGTCCTACATACGTAAGCCATCATACACCAGTCCTACATACGTAAGCCCATCATGCACCAGTCCTCCATACGCAAGCCATCATACACCAGTCCTACATACGTAAGCCATCATACACCAGTCACGTAAGCCATCATACACCAGTCCTACACATGTAAGCCATCATGCACCAGTCCTACGTAAGCCATCATACACCAGTCCTACACATAGTAAGCCATCATGCACCAGTCCTACGTAAGCCATCATGCACCAGTTCGCACATGTGTCTCTAGTCCTACATACATACGTAAGCCCGTACGAAGTCCTATTGAAGTCCTACAATGTCGTCATTCCTTCCGCCTCATCTGTTTTCTTTGTTTCTTTCTCTGTATAGCATGAGCTGTTAGTTTCCACGTCTCACCCTTCACTAGCCCTAAACATCTTTATAGTACGTATGTGGCATTACTGGACATGCAGTGGAGCCCTTTCACCCTTGACATGAAGACACCTCTCTAATAAGGGCACCTCACACGCAATTAAACCCCTGAAGCAAGGACTCCTCATTAATATGTACACTTTCTTCTGTGCCATTTGTGTCTTGGAAATAGACACGTAGTCTATTCCCCAGACCGCTGCAGACCGCACAAGACTGAGTAAGACTATCATGACGACCAGCATTTACTCTTCCCTTTCTCCCATGTTACCTGAGCCCAGCACCGGGTCTTCTGATGGATGGTACTTTCCTTCCACAACTCCTTCATCTGAACAGAGCAAACAAGAGAAGATCGAGTCAGTAAAGAATTTGGATGCAAGGATTTTAACATTTAAACAGTGATCTTTACGAACATACCTGTTACCATTACACTGCCAATTAATGCTAGTAGCAGTGACAGAGTGTATCGATGAGTGTTCTTTATTTAGCAGGTCCACAGTATCACACACAATCAATACACTCAGAGTTAAGAAAAGCTCCAACCTTCCCCTCACACCATGGCAAGAAAGAGAGAGACAGTGTCCACAGTATCACACACAATCAATACACTCAGAGTTAAGAAAAGCTCCAACCTTCCCCTCACACCATGACAAGAAAGAGAGACACAGTGTCCACAGTATCACACACAATCAATACACTCAGAGTTAAGAAAAGCTCCAACCTTCCCCTCACACCATGACAAGAAAGAGAGACACAGTGTCCACAGTATCACACACAATCAATACACTCAGAGTTAAGAAAAGCTCCAACCTTCCCCTCACACCATGACAAGAAAGAGAGACACAGTGTCCACAGTATCACACACAATCAATACACTCAGAGTTAAGAAAAGCTCCAACCTTCCCCTCACACCATGGCAAGAAAGAGAGACACAGTGTCCACAGTATCACACACAATCAATACACTCAGAGTTAAGAAAAGCTCCAACCTTCCCCTCACACCATGACAAGAAAGAGAGACACAGTGTCCACAGTATCACACACAATCAATACACTCAGAGTTAAGAAAAGCTCCAACCTTCCCTCACACCATGACAAGAAAGAGAGAGACAGTGTCCACAGTATCACACAATCAATACACTCAGAGTAAGAAAAGCTCCAACCTTCCCCTCACACCGTGACAAGAAAGAGAGAGACAGTGTCCACAGTATCACACACAATCAATACACTCAGATGTAAGAAAAGCTCCAACTTCCCCTCACACCATGACAAGAAAGAGAGAGACAGTGTCCACAGTATCACACACAATCAATACACTCAGAGTTAAGAAAAGCTCCAAACTTCCCCTCACACCATGACAAGAAAGAGAGAGACAGGGACGCGTACGTACGCACCTCTCCAAAACTGTAAGGACCATCTCTCTCCTTGTCCTTGTTTCCGTAGTACCACTCCTTCTCTGTGTCCCTCTGCTGGTCGGGGGAGGCCTCCAGGGAGCTGGTCTGGAGAGGGACGTATGCTCGCTGGGTGTGCAGGTGAGCCAGCGTCACCAGGTCGACCAGGACCCGCACTCCGTTGGTGTCCAGGAACAGCTTCACGTTGTGTCGGTTGTGGAGGAGTTTGTCGATGAACTGGAGGAGTCGGTCTCTCTCTGTCCGATTTTCGCACTGGGGACACCGGGAGAGGGAGGGGGGAGATGGATGAAAGGAGGGAGGGAGAAAGGTTTATGGAACATTATTTCTGGACTGTTCATTGCAGAACCACAGGTGTTTCTGCGTCTCATTGTTAACACTTAACCAGCCACGGACACATAATTTCTGCTTATTTAAGGAGATACTCATGGCGTCTAATTGTTAAGCACATTTCAGGACCGTTTCTTGCAGAGCAATCAGTCTGTATGTAAGAACTGGTGTTTCTGCACAAGTGTAAATGGCCTTAAAACTGCAACTAGCACCACAGCTAAAACTCTGTCAATACAATGCGTCACATACCTCTTCCAGTTTGCGGACCATGAAGGCAGTGTCATTGAACGGACCAATCTCCTCGTGACATCGACCGTACACTATGGCCATCGCCTGGGCAACAACAGCAATACAGTGGTTGCCATGGACGGGCTATGAATATCATTAGTGGTTCTAACCTGGAGACACATGGCCTTCATGGAGGGTTTGGGTGAGAGGAGGAATCGATGGTACAAGTCGTTGAAAAACTCTCGTCTGTGGGAATAACAGGTTCAGAAATATCAGTGTTGGAAATTAGAACATTAAAACAGGCTTCCGTAATAATTGCCCTTACATGTGGTAAGAATGCACTGCAGAGGAACAAGTTGCTACATTTTTAACATTGTCTCTCACACAGAGTGCATTCCACTGCTAGCAATAAGGTCTAGTCGGAATAACCTACAGAATTCATCAGCAGTGTTCGGAACTACTCCCTACTATGTGTACTAACATGCTAGAACTACACTTAAGCCCTATTGCAGCCCTGTTTCTCTTATCTTCTCTATTTCTCATCTAGGGGAATGGTTCCGCCCATTGCTCTGGGTGCGTGGTCAATGGCCCTAGTGCTACGGCTGCCACCTGTATATTAATACTAGAGGAAATACAAGGCATGGCGAGCGAAGACCGCGCATTTCAAGTACTTTTGCGTGTTAGCGTGTATTTAGAATCACTTAAACATTATGGTATGTTGGTCCATGGGTCCGCTGGCCGTTACAGAAATATCATGGAAATATTCCACATATAGACACTTAGGTGGGTTTGCTTCAGTCGCCAATTATCGTATGTAGGAATTTGGAGTCTGGATAGTGTTCATGGTACCACACCAAAATGGACTCAACATACGTTCCTATCAAGAGACTCACGGATTCTCAAACACAAAATGGCGGAACAATTCTGAAATTGAACCATACCGGTGTGGGCCCTTTTATAGGCAGAGAGAGTCTCTGGGGTGTTAGTAATGTGCATTTCCCTACGTATTATTAACATGCAAACTACACGTTTGAAGATCTTCTGGGAAGTGTTCCAAATAAAGCCCTACCACTAACATGCTCTGTAGAACTCACGGTTCTCGAACGTGGTGTCCCACATCGCTCATCACAGAGGAGTCGGAGGTAGTAGTCACGAGGTGGTGATCTCACGTCTGCCAGACACTCGTACATCACCTCAAACTCTAAACGATGGTACCGGAGAATGCTAGCGTAGCCAAATCAGGTCTTGTCCACCGTGACACGACTGATCTCGTCTCCAGGGCTCCCGGAGCTCCTCACGGTCTGTTGATATAGTAGAGAGACGGGGTAGTCAGCAAAACATGGATGACTCACGAGGTAAGATGAAATGGGTAACTGCATAGTTTTTTGTGAGACTGTACATGTCTATTTTTCTGTACACGTGTATATATGCTGTGCGTGTATTTAGAGTAAGTCGCACGTTTTTCCTTATCTAAGTTACACCTTCGTCGTACTGCGCGAGTTTCATGTAGAGCTGTGAAAAAGCAATACTACACATGGTGTACCTTTCATGTGTACATAGTAATATGTACTGCTACGTAGTGTGGTATGTGATGGACCTACAGAGATACTACTGATTTTTGACACGCAGCGTTCATATAATCGACCAAACACTACAAATAAACCTTACACAAAAATCAGTCACAACATCAATCGGTGTTCTTAAAGAGTGTAGTGGGAGTTGTTAAAAACAGGTATGAAACCATGTAGTTCCAGATGAGGGGCAGATAGCTGAGCTGGTCCTCGTGAAACTGGTAGTAGAAGAGGAGGCCAGTTATCTTCCGTCTTGATCTGCTGTCGCTCTTCCTCAGGGTCACGGTGCTTGGGAGTTGCGTTGGTCTACTGGGTTTTGTGAGCCGAACATTTTTGAGGTTTTTCCTTGTAGTCGGGTGATCACAGTGGATGAGTGTCAACTCACAGTTGTTGATCCTCGCTATGGAAAGGGTATGGGGCCAAGGGGGGAGGGAGTAGGGGAGGGGGAGCGGTAAAGGAATGTGAACAGTAGTGTAAGTAGGGCTTTAAATTTAGAGACTGTATAAAAATAATTGCATGTTGCCACTCGGCCCTACTTCGCATATTTAGTAACATTTCTAAAGTTAGCCATTATGGACTAAACGTTACTGAAACACATACCTACCCACCCACCTACCTATACGTTGAAACTGCTTAAATAACTAAGGGACACCTGGGGACCTGTCCAATATGTATGCGTTTAGTACGTGGGCCGGCTCACTTATGGTTCACCCCACTTACCCACCAAGATTGGGGGGCGGGTGACTGCCAGAAGACAAGGTCTGAGCGTGAGGGAAAATGTACAAGAAAGTGGTTCACCCAAGACTATGGCAGACATGACGAGACGTTCTTGCCGTGTCCCTGTAGGCCTTTGAGGTGTTCTCTGAATGCATGCGGTTCTGCCTTTCGGACATTCTATTGGATTGAGGTATGACTTCGACCGCGGTTGTAGGATATTATAGAGCACTGACCGTAATGGGTGTGTAGCGTTTGTGTGTCGCACC